GGTGGTGGTGGTGTTAGTGGTGGTGCTGGTGATGGTGGCGGCAGTAGTGGCGGTGCTAACGACCACACCACCACCCCGTTTGTGCACCGTTGCCGCCCTTCATATCTGCTCGCCAACAGCCCTTGCCCCCCAGGGGGGACTCGTGAGGCTACACAGAGGGGGGGCACCTTTGGCTGTACACTGCACGTGTGTGTGTGATGACGGTGGCCGGCGGCCAACACGACCGCTGTAGTGGCAGCGGCCGAGGGGAGGGGAACGCGCCCGTAGGGGACGCCAACCGCGCGGAGATGGAGCGACGAAATCGGCTCCGCGAGGCGACGCGGGGGGATGGCTGCCTCCCGCGTGTGTCTGCGTGTGCACGCCTCTCGCCATCCTCCGTGTGCGCACGCCATGCACGTTGGACTTGTTTCACGCCGGAAGGACAACAAACTAATTCAAGATTTGAAGCTTTCGTGACTGCAAGGATTCATATTCTTAGGTTTTTTCGGGAAAGTCACGTTGATAAAAAATTAAAATTAATATAAGTAAAATTAAAATAAAATCACGACGTTTCGGAGGCAACACAAGCTTCCGTCTTATTTTACTTTTATTAATTAATTTTTTTTACCTACGTGACTTTACCGAAAAAACCTAAGAATATGACAACAAACTAAACACAAAGAGGCAGTGGCAGCCCAGATAGTGAGTTTTGCAATCGAGATGATTTAAAAGGAGATAGCTCCCGGTGGCTTCCCGACGTCGGAAGGAGGAACGTTCCAGACGGCCGCAGAAGCGCGTCTGAATCCGCGCGGTGCGGTGGCCACCGCCTTTGTTCGACTGCCAGCCAAAGGCCGCTTGCTGTTGCTGCTGTGGAGGAGGAGGAGGATGATGACCACCGGGGCTCGCGTGACGATGGTTTATGCTCCTTGACGAGATCGGCAAGTGGGGGTGTTTTGGGGGGGGGGGCGGGTAGCCTGCCCCCCTCTGTAAACCGCACACATCGTCCTTAGGGGCACGGAGATAAGAGACGCATCTCGCCGCTCTAACGAGACGCCGCCTATTTCGGAGTTCTGCCCCCCCCCCCCACCACCGCGTGCAATAGGGGAGATTGGGGGGAAGGGGGGCCGGGCCGCGACCCCGATTCTTTAATTAGAAGCGAAAAGTTTGACGCACGACCGCGGCTGCCTCTGCACGGTTCGGGAGAATGCTCGATGCTCGCGGGGATGAGGGATCGTGTGCGGTGATCAGCGGCAGCAGCAGCAGCGGCGGCGATGGTGGTGGTGGTGGTGGGCTCGGGTGAGCTGAGGTCAACGCGATTGTCTCCCCCTCTCTCTCCGCGCCTCGTAAATAACGTTCGCCCCCCCCCCCCCCAAAAAAAAAAAACGCAGTTTCATTTCCTCTCGTCCGCCTGGACATTGTGTGGCTGCGAGCGAGATTGGGAGACGTATTCATGCGAACGGAGGAAACTTAAAAAAAAAACTGGGGGGGGGGGGGGCAGGGGGCGGGGGGGGAGGCGGTCTCGCGAGTCGCTGCAATGAAACAAAAAAACGTGCAGTCAATCCCCGGGCCTGCGTTATTCCATCCATGCCGTGGCGGGGGAGGGGTGGGGTTGTGGGTGGTGGGGCGGGGGGTGTTGACCATACTTCACCACTCTGGTCAGTGCGCGATGTTAGCCGTGGCCGGTAAATCGAAGGTCTCGAACGCATCGCGATCGCCAAATGTGCCGCTACCAACTCCCCCTGCAAGTTATGCAAGCGCAAAGGCAAAAAGGGGGGGGGGGTCTTCCGTGTAGCCCTTAAACCGGTGGGGGGCTGTTGCGGGGCAAGTGGTGGTAGCAAAACCGCTGGCGCGCCTCCCGCTCTGAGCGAGTGAGCGACACCGGGGAGAGCTGCGTTGGACAGTCGCTCCGCTCGGTCGTCCGCGCCGAGTGAAATGCCGCGTGCGCGATCGTTTGCGAGCGTGTCAGTGAGTTGACCAAGTTGATTGTAAATTCCTCCCTGCTGGTGGGAGGAGTAGGGGGGGCGAGGGGGGGGCGGCAGATTGAGGGGGGCTCGTAGGGTTTGGCGGCTGGAAGAAGAAAAAAAAATCTGACAAAAACAAGTTTGTTTAGCCGTCGTGTGCGCGACCACTCAACGACGGGAGGTCATGTGCGGTCACCAGGGGATGGTCTCTCTGTCCACGTGCGCTGGCGAGCGGGGCGAGCGTGGAGAGAGAGCGAGCGACACACGATGAAAGAGCGCCGGGGATTCTGTATTCGTTCCGGTCGACGTCGTCGTCGTCGTAGTCGGGGACGAATTGTGCCAGTGGACGTTTTTTTATTTGAAAGAAAAATCCGAGATTGGCTGTAAATGTTTGGGGGGGGGGAGGGTAAGTTGAGGTCAAATGCAGGAAACCCCTTGTTTGTTTTCTGAGAGGTCCTATTAATGGGGAGCGGAGAGGGGTAAGTTTGGGGCCATGTCGCGGGGGTGGTGGGGGTGGTGGTGGGGTTGGTGGGGTTGGTCACCAGATTTTTCGCAGGCCAGTGTGTGAGCACTGCGGAGGGAAGGCGTTATTTAAAGTGCGAGTCTCGGGGTGGCTCGCGGGTCAAGGGGCACCGAGCTGAAGCCGCTGAGGCTCTGGGGTTGACGGTCGCGGACGTCGTTGATGACACGCACGACAAAACCCTCCGTTGTGATGTCTTGGACTTGTTAGGAAGCCGCTGTGGAGCTGTGCACTGTTAAATCATCTCGATTGATAATGCATTTTTATTTTATTTCTAACTGATATTTTCGTTAAGTTTGTTGTCCTTCCCCCGCACCTCCAACTAGCAAGGTTGGCTACGTACGGTGCGAAAGAAGTCAACATACATACATCGAATTACAATCGTCTGGTTGTTTCATATCTTATTTGACTTCATTGCAGCACTTAGGATTTGAAGTGTCAGTTCAACTGCAGTGGGACTAACGTTACACTGCGGTGAGAGAGAGTTTACCATCTGCCAGTGTGTGTGTGTGTGAATGAAAGAGATGGCTTGCAGGGACTTCAAGAAGTAGATCTGTAATTTATACTTCCACGTGCCGTTCTCTGATGTAGGGGCAATTACGTCGTGAACACCGGAGCCTTCAGTGTCATGGGAAAACTTGAATGAATATGCTTGCAAAAGGACATCAGCAGATGTCGGAGGGATGTCACGAAGACGAAAGTCGACATTTATTCCCAACTGAAATGGCCCAAGTCCGCGCACGAGGTCTGTGAACCGAACGTGTAGCGTGAGCTCGCGGCCCCGTGATTTGACGTTCACAATCCCGCGTGTGTCCTTGCGTTTCTTGTTATGGAATCGTCTGCAAGACGATAATCACTTGCTGCTGACGGCGGCCACGATGGCGAAGGTTGTTGCGTAGCGTAAATACCGCGCGGAGCTCGTGACGAGGGCAGCAACGGGCAAAATACGTTCAAGTTAACGGGAGGTAATGTCATTGGACACGAATGACCAATTCACCGTTTGGCCGTGTAGTTTAGATGGAAATGAATTCCCGTTTCACTGTCACGGTGGATCACACGGATGGACAACAACTGCCGGGTGTGGAATGTATGTTGCCGGTTACAAGTCGCAAGCTTCCTGGTTTTGTTTGTGTCGTTAAACCCACCACCACCCGACACAGCTAACTAGTAAGGGTTGTCACGTGAACAGAACGTGCCAATTCGTCACTAGTACAGCACTAACCGGTATGTTAGAGAGCCAAGCCACACATTTACAATCTGAGTACGACGTTTCGCCAGTAATTACAACTAGCTTCATCAGGCAACAGCCAGATTTGTGGAGAAGTCCACCGGTTTAACGACACATTTATATATTTACGCGATCTAACCCCCAAAAAAAAATCTGTATTATGGATGATATTGATGGCGAAAGCCTACTACGTAATATCCCGAGATTACACATTTAACGAGCTACACATCACCTCTGGACGGGGTGGGTGGGTGGCGGCGTTTATTTAAGACAGATATTCGTGGCGCCAATGTGGCGAGATGTTATCTCCCTCGCCTGGTGTGCAGGAGGTCATGGGTTCGACCCAGATCCTGACGCCTGCTGTATATTTGGAGTTTACACATCACTCTCTCTCCCCGTGGTCGCGAGGATTTTTCTCCGGTTCCTCCGGGTTTTGAGCATATTTGGCTGCCACTACAAATTTCTACGCGACGATAATCCACTTCTCGCTGAGCTATCAATCGTGGCCAGGTCGCTTCTGAAAAAAATTGCCATATGACTCAGTGGGCCTTACCCGGTCAAATAAAAACCAGTTCAGAGTTTGTTTAGTTTTTTTTATAGTTATACATCGGGGCGACGTCGCGTTTTGTGCGCGCGAGCTGGACGTGCGGGGAAGATGATGGCCTGGCGGTTCATATAGCGGCGGCGGCGGGAGTGTCCATCCGGCGATTGTACCGCGATGGGGCCCTCGGGTGCCACAGGTTACATCACCGCTCCTCGCGGTTCGGTGTTCCGGCTCGGGCACGGTTAGAAAAGTCTCGGAGATTTTTTGCGTAAAACATTTTTTCAACGCGCCTCCATCTCCGCCATTGTTTTTTTGTTCCCCGTAACGGGGCAAAGGTCGCATTGTGATTTTGCTACTTGCGTGCGTGCGTGTGCGTGCGTGTATCGGGAGCGGTAGTGTAGTGGTTAGCGCCCTGCACTACGAACCTGGCGAACCGGGTTCTATTTCCGCTCGCGGCCAAACACCAGTGACGATTATTTGAACCGGTCCTGGGCTTCCCCTAGGTCGATTCAGCCTCAAATTAGTACCTGGTATGGTGTATAAACATGGCCACTGGGGAGACCAAGGCGGCCGGGCGTGGTGCTGGTCACCCACCCCCTCGTGTGCCGCGCCGACCATCGTAGGTGCTCGCTAACAGCACTTGCCCCAACAGTCTGTTGAGGCTATACTGGAGGAGGTGGAGGGGGGGGGGGGATCTTTGCCCTGTGCCCGTGTGTGTATGTGAGCGCCGAGTTGTGACCGGGCGACCACCACGCTGTGCCACGTCAGGGTCTACTCGGAGCGGCGCAAGGAGAAGTCCCGTGACGCGGCGCGGTGCCGGCGCGGCTGGGAGACGGAGGTGTTCGCCCAGCTGGCGCGGGAGCTGCCGCTGCCACCCGCAGCCTCCGCCGCGCTGGACAAGGCGTCGGTTATGCGGCTCGCCATCAGCTACCTGCGCCTGCGCCAGCTGCTGCCGCCCAGCCGTGAGTCCGCGCGCGAGTCGAGTCCGCGCGCGAGTCGAGTCCGCGCGCGAGTCGAGTCCGCGCGCGAGTCGAGTCCGCGCGCGAGTCGAGTCCGCGCGCGAGTCGAGTCCGCGCGCGAGTCGAGTCCGCGCGCGAGTCGAGTCCGCGCGCGTGAGTCGAGTCCGCGCGCGAGTCGAGTCCGCGCGCGAGTCGAGTCCGCGCGCGAGTCGAGTCCGCGCGCGAGTCGAGTCCGCGCGCGTGAGTCGAGTCCGCGCGCGAGTCGAGTCCGCGCGCGAGTCGAGTCCGCGCGCGAGTCGAGTCCGCGCGCGAGTCGAGTCCGCGCGCGAGTCGAGTCCGCGCGCGAGTCGAGTCCGCGCGCGTGAGTCGAGTCCGCGCGCGTGAGTCGAGTCCGCGCGCGAGTCGAGTCCGCGCGCGAGTCGAGTCCGCGCGCGAGTCGAGTTCGCGCGCGAGTCGAGTCCGCGCGCGAGTCGAGTCCGCGCGCGTGAGTCGAGTCCGCGCGCGTGAGTCGAGTCCGCGCGCGTGAGTCGAGTCCGCGCGCGTGAGTCGAGTCCGCGCGCGTGAGTCCGCGCGCGCGTCGGTGTGTGGGCGAATGTAGTGGCGGTGGTGCCAGCGGTTGGCGTGTGTCGCGCTATGAGCCGAGTTTGATTCCTGCTCACGGCCGACACCAGTGACGAGTATCCGGACCGGTAATGGGCTTCACCTCGGTCGGCGCAGCCTCAAGTGATGCGGTCTGCTCGAGAGACAAGGGCGTGGTGCTGGCCACCCAACTGCCTCGTCTACCGTGCCAGCCTTCATAGATGCTCACGAAAGGGCACTTTCCCCAAAACAGTCCGTAATGGGGCTAGTAGCTCTTTGTCTTGTGTGTGTGTCTGTGTCTTTGTGTCAATTCTGGTGGGTACAATGCGGTGCGCGTACATCGCGCTTGACAGTGTATTCTCATTGGCGCGGGTCGACGCGACGCGTCAGAACCCGCGTGGGGAGGCGAACCGAGGCGGCTGTTGTTGACGAGCGTGCGAGCGAGTTCTCCTCTCTCCTGTTCAAGCAACAGGTGGGCCGCTTTTAAAATAAATTAATTCCGCGGACGCCCCCCATGACACAGGGATTACCGGCGGATCCCTCGGTGCGCAGGCAATGGAAACTGGCGCTTACAGCCGTCCGTTCGTCGAAAAATAACCGCGGCGACGTCTTCCGCCCCCCTCTCTCCCTGCCCATCGCTGCCCCCCCTCCACTCCACTCCCCCCCCCACTCCCCCCCCACTCCCTCCCCCCCACTCCCTCCCCCCCACTCCCTCCCTCCCTCCCAATGCGACCCCAGGACTGGCTTGGAAAACTGTGCGGAGGGGGCAGCCCTGATGATGAGGGTGATCTAGCGTCGGAGTGACTGTGAGGGTCGCTGAGCCCCTCCCCCCTTCCCCCACTAATGTTAGCTCACCCCCCCCCACCTACGCCCCACCTCTCCCTTCTAAATTCTCATCAAGCAATTTATGAACAACGCTCATGTTCTCCCGGTTTTCCCCTCCACATTTAGAAACACGCCTTTAAATCGTTTAGATCGTTCCGAGTGTTTGGCCGCCGCTCTAAATTTCCAACACGACGACGGGCCGCTTCGTTGAGCTGTCATTTGTGGCCAGGTCACGTCTGAAAAAAGAAGCTCAAAGTTCAGTGGGCCTGACCCGGTAGAATAACAATGGTTTATAGTTTGGTTACTTTGATAGTTTTATATCGCGCCAACATCACGTCCTGTGTAATTTGTATATTTTTAAGTGATTTGTTTATCTTCACTATGCCTGGCACCCCTGTCGTGTTTGTTGTATTGCTTGTTGTTGTACCGTTCCGACCCACCCCGACTGGACTTTTGTGAACAAAGAGCTTTGTGACTCGTAGGATTCCTCCAGTTCAAATAAATATTCCGATTCCGATTGCGAATGGCGTACCGGACCGGTATCACCGAGCGGAATATTACGTTGAAGCGAGCAAACACCCTGCACCGCTTTTGACCTTCTCGGTGTCGCGGGCAGGGTCAGGATGGTTGAAAAAAAAATGCCGCTGAATTATCCCGCGCGGTATTGCCCAGAGCACAGCACGTGGTCCCGCTCCAACGCGAAACGTTCGTGCGTCGTAAGTTCTCGCCGTCGGGGAGGTGGTGTCACGACCGGGTCGAGCGCGTTACATGTATTCCCCGCCCGGCGATCCACCGCAGCGTTCTTCTTTGCGCAGTCAAGCGTCCATGCGGCGATCACGGCGATGACGACGACATCGACGATTTACAAACCCTCTGTGGTTTTCACAATCGAGGCTTTTGGGTGTTAGATCGCGTAAGTTAAAAATATGTCGTCTCTGGTAGTTGCAAAAAAATTGTACAATTTAACCGTGGGTATTCATCACAGCCTCTCTTCACACACGCGGTGGGGGGGGGCGTGGGGGGAGGGGAGGGGGCGAGGGGGGGGGGCGGAGGGGGGGACAGAGCAGAATGGACTGCGGACGAAAGCAGATCGGATCGTTACTCATTCGGTTTCGCGCCGAGCATTCTTTTAAAGTTCATCGAATATTGCGTCGCGTCCCTGTGCCCCCCTCCTCCCTCCCCCCGACCCCCCCCCCCTCCGCCTCCATCCCCCTTCGCTGAGTTTTTATTCCCCCCCCCCCCTCCAGACCCACTGAAAAACCAAGATCGCGGGAATTAATTTTGATCGGCGATTAATTTGAGCCGTAACGGCAATCATTTGGGGCAACTCCTCAACCACCTCACCTCCTCTCGTTCCTCCACCCCAAGAGAGCGGAGTTTGGCACGTGCTGTCGTGGTTGTGACCAGGCAAGCCGCGTGACCGGTGAACGGCGAACAGATGTCCTAAAGGACGCGACTTCAGTTTGAGCCGCTATTCTACAGGAACGCACAAAGCCAGAGTGAGAAATGAAGCCCAGAATGCGCTGGTGATGTTAGGACTGGTTGTGGTGATGTTAGCCCAGGTTGTGGTGATGTTAGCCCTGGTTGTGGTGATGTTAGCACTGGTTGTGGTGATGTTAGCACTGGTTGTGGTGATGTTAGCCCAGGTTGTGGTGATGTTAGCACTGGTTGTGGTGATGTTAGCACTGGTTGTGGTGATGTTGGCACTGGTTGTGGTGATGTTAGCCCTGGTTGTGGTGATGTTAGCACTGGTTGTGGTGATGTTAGCACTGGTTGTGGTGATGTTAACCCTGGTTGTGGTGATGTTAGCCCAGGTTGTGGTGATGTTAGCACTGGTTGTGGTGATGTTAGCCCAGGTTGTGGTGATGTTAGCACTGGTTGTGGTGATGTTAGCCCAGGTTGTGGTGATGTTAGCACTGGTTGTGGTGATGTTAGCCCAGGTTGTGGTGATGTTAGCACTGGTTGTGGTGATGTTAGCCCAGGTTGTGGTGATGTTAGCACTGGTTGTGGTGATGTTAGACCAGGTTGTGGTGATGTTAGCACTGGTTGTGGTGATGTTAGCACTGGTTGTGGTGATGTTAGCACTGGTTGTGGTGATGTTAGCCCAGGTTGTGGTGATGTTAGCACTGGTTGTGGTGATGTTGGCACTGGTTGTGGTGATGTTAGCCCAGGTTGTGGTGATGTTAGCACTGGTTGTGGTGATGTTAGCACTGGTTGTGGTGATGTTGGCACTGGTTGTGGTGATGTTAGCCCAGGTTGTGGTGATGTTAGCACTGGTTGTGGTGATATTAGCACTGGTTGTGGTGATGTTAGCCCAGGTTGTGGTGATGTTAGCACTGGTTGTGGTGATGTTAGCCCAGGTTGTGGTGATGTTAGCACTGGTTGTGGTGATGTTAGCCCAGGTTGTGGTGATGTTAGCACTGGTTGTGGTGATGTTAGCCCAGGTTGTGGTGATGTTAGCACTGGTTGTGGTGATGTTAGCCCAGATTGTGGTGATGTTAGCACTGGTTGTGGTGATGTTAGCCCATGTTGTGGTGATGTTAGCACTAGTTGTGGTGATGTTAGCCCAGGTTGTGGTGATGTTAGCACTGTTTGTGGTGATGTTAGCCCAGGTTGTGGTGATGTTAGCACTGGTTGTGGTGATGTTAGCCCAGGTTGTGGTGATGTTAGCACTGGTTGTGGTGATGTTAGCCCAGGTTGTGGTGATGTTAGCACTGGTTGTGGTGATGTTAGCCCAGATCGTGGTGATGTTATCCATCCCGTCTGCCCCCCCCCCCCCCCCCCACCAGCCCTGCCACCCCACGCCTGGTGTGAGTTGAGGGCCTCTTCTGAGTATTTGGAACTGAACGCCTCCTGCCACACCTCCTCATCTCAACCCCCCCCCCCCCCACCGTGCCCCTCCCCCCTTACCCACGTGACCCCACCCATCCCCCTTTAACCCCGAGGGCAAGAATTAATTTTGCACTCGCGAGGAGGCACTGACAGTTTTTGAAATTTGACGAAGCCACCCATGCCTACGGTGGTTATTATTAGCGGCGTTTGTAGTGCGCTGCTATTGCTGCTGCTATTGCTGCTGCTGTTTAAGTTGGGATTGGTATTTAAGTGGGGATGATCATTTGCCATTCCCATAATAATGTTTAGTTCACCAGTTGATCAATTTTTTTCCATGAACATTTTACAACGGTCCCGTGCAATTGAACCTCATACTGCAGTCATCATCACTGACTGGTGATTATTATTATGATGAGCTCATTGCAATCATGATTCTCTTGCTTAAATAGAGAATCGCTCTCTCTATGCAATCAATATCATCGTCATCGTCAACCATGTTCTATCGACTGCTGGAAAAAAGGCCCCCTCCGCCGCTCCTCCCCAGGCCATCGCAATCTCTCACGGGTTGTGCGATGCCACAATCCATCCGGCCCCTTTCCACACGAGTATTTTTTTTTTACAATTATTGCGACACTGGTCTCTACCGCAGTGCAGACGAGGAATGTTTAACCCGCTGGCTCAGTGGGTGCAGTGGAGGTGAGGTTGGGTGAGTGGTTGGGTCGGTGGGTGGTTGGATGGGTGGGTGGGTGATTGAGTGGGTGGTTGGG